ATTATTATTATTATTATTAATTAGATTTCTAGCCTGCCTTTCTGCTCTCATAGGGCCACCAAGGTAGCTAACCAATTAAAACATACAAATTAAAATCTCAAAAGCCACTAAAACCAACATAAAACAATTTAAAACCAGAGCTTAAAATAAAAGCCAAAGATAAATATAACAGTCAAGACACTGGGGAGGAAGGTGGAATCACGGAGGGAACACCAAGCAACACGAAAAAGTCCTCACCCACGGGTGGAAGACAGCCACAGGAGGGGACTGGTGAATCTCCCGGGGGGGGGGGGCAGAGTTCCAGAGTTTTGGTGCCGCAACTGAGAGGGCCCCGTCCCCGGGGGGGTGCCACTCGCCTAATCTCAGAAGGTGGGGGCACCCGAACCAGGGCCTCTGGAGCAGCGCTCCCTCTAACCTGTGGAGTCTTGTGAGCAAAAATTCCCCTTTGTGAGCTCCTGGCATTAAAGTTGTGAGCGAGCGATTTGGCTGCTGCTGCATGAATCAGTCTGGAGCTCACACTAACTCAGCTCAGAGGGAACACTGCTCTGAAGAGGACCAGAGTGGTCGGGCAGGTTCCTAAGGGACTGGGCCGTCCTTCAGGCATGTTGGTCCCAAACCCTATGGGGCTCTGACGGTCAAGACCAGCACCTTGAATGGTGCCTGGAAACAAACTGGAAGCCAGTGTGGGTGGGCCAAGACTGGAGTGACATGTAGTGTTCCCCCCAAGCTGACTGAGAGTGAGCTAGCTCACAGTTTTTTAGCCTCCGGCTCACACATTTTTGTCTTAGCTCAGGAAGGGTGGCTCCAGAGCAAACTCATTGATGCAGTAGTAGCCACATCGCTCACTCACAACTTGAATGCCAGGAGCTCACAAAGTAGGATTTTTGCTCACAAGACTCCACAGCTGAGAGGGAGCCTTGGTGACATGGTCCCTGCAACCCACTCCCGTCAACATCCCGGCAGCGGCATTCTGTACCAACTGAAGTTTCCGAACGCTTTTCGAGGGCAGCCCCACGTAGAGGGCATTGCAGTAAACGGATCTAGATGCAGCCAGGGCACATGCCACAGCGGCCAGAGCTTATCTGTCCAGGAAAGACCGCTGCTGGCTAACCAGTCGAAGCCAGAAGAGGCCCTCCTGCTGGACCCAGCTGCCCCCCGCTTAGCCAGCAGCAGGGCCTGGGTCGTCCAAGAGCACCCCCCCCCAGACTACGGACCCGTTCCTCCGAGGGGAGTGCAGCCCCACCCAGAATGGGTGACACCCAAAGTCCTGCTCGCCAGTCACACCCGTTGAGGGTCAGGATTAAGCTTCGGTTCACTGGCCCACCCCCACTCCCAAACTGCCTCCAGGGGCTGGTTCAGCATTCCTACAGTCTCCCTGGGATTCACCGGAAGCGCGCGATGGAGCTGCGCACCATCCGCATGCCAGGGACAGCCCAGCCCTCCGGACGACCTCATCCAGCGGCTTCGTGTAGATGTTAGAAGGCGTGGAGGACAAGAGGGGACCTTGAAGGAGCCCCAGAGGCCAAGGGGCTCAGCAGTTGCCCCCAGGCCACCTTCTGAAACCAGCCCCCACCCAGGCGGGACCTGAACCCCTGCCAAGCGGTGCCTCCCAATCCCAGCCTGGAAAGGTGGTCTCGAAGGACACCATAACTGAGGGTGCTGAAAGGCGCTGAGAGGTCCAGAAGGATCAGCACACTGGCACTCTGCCTGGGTGAGCCTTTGTCCTGGTCAGCGACGGGCCGAGAGAGGAGCCCTTACCTGGATGCCGCACCTCCCAGCTTGCCGTCCAAAGAGCCAGAGCCGCTGAAGGGCAACGGGAACCCACCTGGAACAGACCACAGAGTGGGCATCTCCCCGAGTGCAACGCAGAGCCTCCCTGCACCAGCACCGTGCCCATCCCCCCCGCCCCGGTGTGCGGCCCGAGTATGAGGAGAAGCCCCCACCCCCTTTCAGCCTCTCGTCACGGAGCCTGCCGCTTATTCCAAGCCCACAGCCTCCGAGGGGTGACAGAAGGGGCCCTGAAAGCCAACGGGAGGCAGGGCCCCTGGGGACACACGACGCCCAAGCTGCATCTCAGGCCCCGAGGCTCTCCGGACTGACCGCCCGCCGACACTTTGAAACTCTGGGCATTCCAGGCAAGCGGATGTGGTCGCCACAACAAAGCCGCTAAAAGGGGAAATCGCTCATCCGCACATCCGCGGGCATGCCTTCATAAATGTCCCGCTCCTTGATCACCGCCGCCGTTCCACCCCTCTCCCCCTCTCAGTCGTGTCACCAGTGGGGCCCAGGGTCTTCTCACGGCCAAAGGAAGGAGGAACTGGGGAAGGGCTCTGGAACGGTGCCATGTGAGCCAGAGGCCCCACAGCGTCTCACCTGGGAAATACTTGCGCCACTTCTCTGCCAACATGCTGTCCACAGCCTGGCCAGAAGGTGCTGCCAGCCTGGAACCCAAGCCGGGACTCCAGGGCCACTGGTTAGCCAGAGGCGTCCCGGCAGATGGGTGGGCACGTGACAGAGAGATGTAGGCAGCAAGAGGAATGCCATCCTGGGCGGAAGGGAAGCGAGGCGGCTGCTGGTTGCCGAAGGTGCTCAGGAGGGCAAGGACGCCATTCAGGTCGCTGGTAATCCGCTGCAGCGACTCCGTCAGGTAGTGGATCTGGTCGTTCTGGGGAAACTGCAAGCCTGCTTTCAAGTCAACTACTGCAGGGAAGAGAGAAAGAGGAGGACTCGCCCCGCAGGCCCGTGGAGGGAGGGGGCAGATGTTTCACGTGCCCACAAGTCTTCACATCCCACAGTAGGGCGCTTCCTGGGCTGTTCTGTCTGGCAGAGGGAGACTGCCCATCCCCCAGGCCCCTTCAGCAAAGCCCGGACTCCGTGGCTCGCTCTGAAGGAACACCGCCCCCACGGGATGGGGGGTTCAGAGCTGAGCAACCCAACCTGTTGACGGGGCGGACGCTCCTGTCCCACCCAGCCACATCAGGATGGCAGGAGGAGGAGGACAGACAGACAGACAGACAAGAGCAGAACGAAAGGCAGACAGGGAGCGTGCTGCCAGGCCACTTGGAGCCCCTGGGGGCAGCACTGAATTAAGGAAAGAGGGAGCACCGCAGCCACCCACAATTCTAGCCACCCACTGCAGAACGGATGCTCTAGTGATGTGTTCCAAGTAGGAGGAGAAACCCAACAGGAGGAAACCCCTGGCCCCCGCCAGGCCAGGCCAGGCCAGGCCAGACACTCCAGACGGACCTTGGCCGTTGGCTCTGTGATGCTACCCGTGGGACTTGCGCAACCAGAGTCTTACTTGTGTGGGGAAACGCCTCGGTGTTTGCCCTACCACCCGAGTCTTCAGAGTCACTGAGGTCAAAGGTCACCACCTTCTTGCATGCTGTTCCCTTCAGCGTCACTTCCTCAGAGAGCTTCAGGAGAGAAGGTGGGAAAGCTCTCCTTACTAGTCACTCAAGGCCACGACTTCCTGCTCAGGGGCAAAGATGGACGGCAAGCAAAGCAGGTACACGGCTCCAGCCAGGGCCCCTGAACAGGCAGTGCTGGGATTCTGGAGGGTGGGAAGGCGTGCTCTGCCCCCTCACGCCCCCTCGCTCGGACACAGAGCTGAGCAACCCGGTCAGAGGACACAACCCCGCTCCCCTCTCCAGGCCAGGCGGCAGAGAGCAGAGGCTCTTCTAGTCTGCGACAAGCACCCGCCCCCCCGTGGTTTCCCACCGGGGAGTGGGGGGGAGACTAGCAGCCCGCCGGGCTTTTTGCAGGCCAGTGCTCTCGCCGGCGGCTTTGGGGGGCTCCTTCCACTCAGACTGAAGGTCCCTCGGCAGGCCAGCCCCACCTCACTCTTCCGGACTCGATGCTGCACTGCAGGGTCAGGGGGTCGGTTCTCGGGTGGGGGGGGGGACACTTGCCTCTTCCAACAAGGATGACTCCAACTCCTCTTTCTTCTTCACCAGAGCTTGGCCTCTCCTCATGGCAGAACTCCTGTCATCCAGATGCCTGGCTTCCTGTGAGGAAAAGCACCTCATAAACATTTCAGGAGAAAGTCCCTTTTACTACGAAGGGCCTTTTTTTCCAGGCCACAAGCAGGTAGGAAGCAATCTATTTAGGGATCATATCTATAACTGGGCATCCGCAAGCCCTCCGGGGGAGGGGACCATCCCACTCTTCCCCCCTTGCCCACTGGGGCAGCCGCCTGCCAGCAGAACTGCCCGTCCAGCGGCTGAGGGGTGGGGGCGAAGGCTCCCGCTGCCCCCGTGCACGGCTGCTATGCCACCCTGCGGGCTCCAGTCTGGCGGAAGCTCCCGCCCTGGCCCCCCTCCTCGCCCACCACCTGCCACAGTGCCAGCAGCATGGGGAGGGGGTGACGGTGGCTCCCCCCGCCCCGCCCCTGCCTTCTCCCAATGCCACTGGCTCAGGAAACGGCCAATGAAATCACAAACAAATCTGTAGTCAGAACACGCTAAATAAATGCAACAGTAATGATACAGAAAGCAAAGTGAATGATAACACTAAACTTATATAAGTTATTATAGAATTACAATCATAATAAAATTTCCCGAACGCGAGTTCTCCCCCAGCTGCAGAGAAGCAGCAAATGTGCGTCGCTTAGTCCTATTTCCCGCGTCTTTCCGTCTGCATGGAGGCCAGGTCCACAATTCGATACACGATGGGCTCACTTTTCTTACCACATTTGAGAACCAACACAGGTGACAAACTAAAAACAGCAACACCACAGCTAAAACCAAACAAAGCCCAGAAGCCTGTCAAGACTATGAGATCGTCCCCACCCGTTCCTAGACTTCCACCTGCTCAGCTACACCACCCCCAACCCGTTGCAGAATCCGTGGGGCCGAGGTCACTCCCCTCACTTCGGAGGGCTTAGGCTGGACTCGCTCCGCTGCAAGGGATCGCCAGTCCCGCCCGACATCCTCCCTCCTGAACACTCGGGGGGGGGCAGCGGCAGAGGCTCCCTCCCCCCACCGTTTTGATAGTTTAGAGTGGAAAATAGGGTTTATATAATTTTCTATTAGTATGGTTGGGATGAATCTATAGGTGTATTGTTTTATATAATGTTATTGAGAAACATAGGAGATTAAGTTGATTAATTAATTGAGATGAAGTAGTGGTGTTGGGAATTTTAAAGAGGTCAGTTCTGAATGAATTATTGATGGCCTGATTTTCTTTTGAAGCTATAAAAGGAAATGAATTTTATCCCTGGCAATATTGAAAATATTTATCAGGACTAAATGAATTGTTTATAGCTACATATTTTATTTTCTGTGAGGGAATTCGGTCATATCTCTACTGTGGGAAAAAGAGGGGTGGAAGTATGAATGAATAAAATGGTGTGGGTGAAAGTTTGTTTTGAAAATTTAGAATGGAAAATGATTGTTTATGATTGATATGTTGTTAATATCAGTATATAAGTTATTATATGTATGGTTGGAAGAAATTTAGGAGTAATATTTAAAAAGTTGTGAGAAAATAAGACTATTTAGGAATTTTATTAGTATGGCTATGAATATGACTATACCATTATAAGAACATATTGAAGTAGTAATAGCAATAATAAGATGAATGGATAGGATTCTTTCTTATATGACTTGCTTCAGAAAAATATACTTGGGTATCTTGGAATTAAAAATTGAGCCTTTGGAAGAAATTATATGATTAGAATGATTGTGTTGGTAAATTAGAAGGGAAAAATATAAGTGATTAATGGAAAAAACAGCAGATGAATCTATAGTGTATTGTTATAGGTGATACGGTTAAGAGTAGTGAGTATAAAAATGGGATTTTGTATAACTAAGCCACTTCTTTTATGGTCAATGCGATGTACCAAGAAAAAGATGTATGTAATGCTATATATGTGTGTGTTTGTCTAATAAGCATAAAAATCCAATAAAAATATTTATTAAAAAAAAAGGAGCGCCTTGGGCCGGGCTGCTTTAGAGGTCAGCAGCACCACCACGGACATTTTCAGACTGGCGAACTCCGACTGGAAGACGGATGGGACAAAAAGATACTCAGTGGATAGGACCAAATCATTTGGAACATCCCAATCAGATTTTAATGTGGTGCTGAAGAGTTCTGGGAAAGACCACTGAGATTCCTCAGTACTTGAACCCCTAGATGGCACTCCGAGTAACTGGTCACAGATTAAACCACAGTCCGTGGAGCATGCCTGCAGAAGTGGCTTTGCCCAATGACCCTTGGGAAAGACCTGCATGAACCGTGAGAGGAGAGCCCCCCCTGCAGGTGCCTCTGCCCTCCTGCGGAGACAGTTCCAGGTGTGTGTGGGGGGGGAACGACGACGATGACTCTTGGTCATCCTGAGAGAGGGGCTCTGTCCCATCCTTCCCTGACAGAGGGTTTGGGAGGAAGTGCCACTGGTGGACCCTGCACTTTCAAGGGGTTGCAGTGATGTGATGCCCTCGAGCCCAGAAAGCAAATCCTGACCTAGACAGGAAACACGCACAACCCCGGGGGGGGGAGAGAGGGGCTCTGTCCCATCCTTCCCTGACAGAGGGTTTGGGAGGAAGTGCCACTGGTGGACCCTGCACTTTCAAGGGGTTGCAGTGATGTGATGCCCTCGAGCCCAGAAAGCAAATCCTGACCTAGACAGGAAACACGC